GGCGGCAGAATGGAGAGCTGGCAAGCCAACGCTTCACGCATTGCTCGCAGTGTTTCCATTCTTGTCATTGAACAACTTAGAGTGCGACGAGTTACACATCCTGCACCTTGGAGTTTTACAATATTATCTTGGCAGCATTCTGTGGTTGCTGACATATGATTGCCTCGGCGGAACACCGACCGATAATTTCGAGCTGGTGTGGAAAATGATACTAGATGAGTACAGAGGTTCTCCGAGCGGCACAGAGTTCACAAAAATGACAATAACATCTTTCATCGACCCTAGCAAATGGAAGGGAAGGGAAGGGCTGTGAGGTGAAGTCTCTTATTGTGCCTCTCCATATCATTTGGGGAAAGCTGAACAAAAGCAGGCCACGTTTACGATCAGGTTGCCAACTCGCTCGACGCAATGACTAAAATACAGTTCATTATAGATGATTGCAGCAATGACGCGTTCATTCCAGATACTGAAGCGGCCTCCTGCTTGTCTGAGACTGATAAGTTCTGTCGGGTGTATTGTTGGCTCACGAACGCGAGCAAGGCTCGCGACCAGATGTTGTTCACTCCAGCGCCAAAACTACATTGGATGTGGCACATGAGCTACAGAGCAAAGTACTTGAGCGTCCGCAGGGGCGCGACGTTCATTGATGAGGATTTCGTCAAGCACATGAAAAAAATCGGTGGCAAATCAGTGGCAGGCACAACCATGCACATGGTACCGAATGTTGTTGTCGAGAAGTATCGGTGGGGCATCAGCCTCGAGTGATAGCGCGTGCCGGGCACTTGGTTGGGCACGAGAAAACAACAGACATCATCGTCACCATCATCATCATCATCGTCATCAGCATCATCATCATCATCATAATCATCATCATAGTAATAATAATAATAATAATCATCATCATCATCATCATCATCATCATCGTCACCACCATCATCATCGCCACCATCATGCCCCCCCTCCGTTGCCCTGTCGATCGACGAGGGCGCCGCGGCAGTGCCAGGACAGCCGCCGCCCGCGCGACCCAGACGGGGCGGGGGATGAGGAGGAGGTGGAAGAGGGGCAAGGGCGGCGGATAATACGAGCGCAAGGGGACGTGGGACGGGAGGGGGTGGAGGACACGGATGAGGAAGGGGGGCGGAGGAAGGACGACGGAGGATGACCAGCGTGAGCGTTTTCGATCAAGACCCTGAACAGCTTGTTGTCGGCCGTGGTCCTGGGGCCGCCTGGGCCTTCGGGGGCCGGGCCTCCGTCCTGGCTGTGTTTGGGGTCTTCTGTTTGCTTTATTTTCAATGGTTTTAGGTTTTTTGTTGACGCCCTGTGGGGGGCGTCCAGTGTGGAAAACACACACGACAATAAATAATGATGTGATCAATTTTCTGTTGAACTGATTTTCCGATTCTGGTTTGCTGGCTCTTCGTCCTGAGTCCCCCCTCCTCTCACTATTCGCACGGCTCGCGCCGACTCCGCCTGCCGATGTTCCCGCGTGGTTCGCGTCCGTGGCATTGGGCGCCCATGGGGGCCCACATGGGGAGGGGGGGCCTTGAGGCCCAAAGACGACTCCACGCGGGCATCCAAAATAAAAAACGAGATGGCTTGTGGTATGCATTCGTGGGTTTTGGTTGGGTTCGGCTGGGGCAGTCCTGGGGCTCTCCTGAGCCGTCGCGTTCCTTCCTGAGTGCCTCTTGGGCCGTACCCTGCGGGCTCCTTGGTTGTTCCCCAGGGACATGCCCGAAATTTCCTGGTCTCGATTCAGGCGTCAGCGATGCCCGCCCTCTGCTAGGCGGCCAGAGACAGCTCATGGGGGGCTCCGCAATGCCCCAAGATTGCCCCGAGAGAGCAACAAGAGGGGCCCAAGGAGGAGGAGGAGGAGGAGGAGGAGGAGGAGGAGAGGAGGAGGATTACTGAATTTATGGATCGCCAAGCACTGCAGCCTTCAATCGGGAAGCTGCCTTGTAGGAGAGCGTTCGGCAACCGCGGAAAACGACGGATAAGTTATGTTTAAGAACCTATGGTAAGTTCAAACTAAGTTAAGTGAATTTCCCCCCCCACCACATAACGAATGTAGATACGTTCAAACTAAGATACGTGCAACAGAGCAGAGACTTCTGATTACATTCATCCATGTATCGAAAATTTTGCGGTGTTTCCAACAGCTGGTCGGCCTCGTATTGGATCGTCGCACGTTTCTTGCCTTAGGCCGCATTTAGCATGTACTTAAAATGCCCTGCCCTGTTGCACTTAACTTAGTTTGAACTTATCTACCTTACTTTTGCTGGCGGGTTTACCTTAGTTTCTTAGAACTCAACATAGCTTCTTAAACTTAACTTATCCTTTGTTTTCTGTGGGTGCCGGATGCTCAGGGGACGAAACAGTGTCGAACGAGTGTGTCCCAGGGCCCGACACGTGAAAAACCTCCAGTTTCGGTACCTCCTTGGTGCTCGGAATTCTTCCTGGTGATCCTAGCCAAAGAGGGCTGGAGCATCATAAGCCCACGGGGCCAATCCCACCCTGTCTCGGGGGGCGCCCAGAACGGGGGGGGGGCCTCCGAGAGGGGCCTCGCAAATCCATGGCCCGAGGCACGTGCGCAGCCCAGAGAGGGCGCGCCAAGGGGCGTGCTCCAATCACAGGGAGGGGGCAACACATCCGAGGAGATAGCGCGGCCCTGGCCATGAGATCCCCTCCCCCTCTTGGACGCAAAGGGACATACTAGCACACACTATACATATATATATATATACATACATCTATATATACATATATATATATATGTATACATCCTCCTTGGAGGCGCACGTCCGACCCGAACATATAGTATACCAATATTGTAGTATATCGCTTCCCGAGCGGTGTGGCCGGAAAGCGCCCGCCACGACGCATATACTGTAAGATTGTTCAGTGCGCGCGTCGCCCCTGGGGGGGAGCGACGCACATATAGTATAAGTATGTTGGGGTGACGCCGACCCTACGTAGTCCCCCCACCCTGCCTCGATGCCTGCTGGTTTTCGGATCATAGCTCGGGCCCCCGGCGGCCATTTGGGACGATCCTGGCACCCATGGACGAATTTCGACGAGACGCAGCCGCTGGAAGGTATCCCGAGGCTGGAAAACCAAGGGGCTAGTCATCACTGTTAGACAAGCGAGTTCCAGCACTCGCAAAACAACGACTCGCAAA